TTTGAGGCGAAATACCCAAAAAGAAGTTTGTAAAAAATTAATTGTTGTTTATTGCAAAACATCTTTGAAAAAGTGAAATGGTATCAATATCGAGAGTGCATCAGATCGTTAAATATTTAGGATCTTCTGTAGCATTTTCCGAGAAGTTTTTCATATTTAAAAAAATGATAGTTTTATAGCAGAGGCCAGTGGACTGTAGATTGGCAATGCAAATAATAAGTCTGGAATAATTTAATAAATTAGAATGTTCTATGAAACAAGAACGGGTGCTATGAAACTATCAACTGGAAAAGTGAAGCGCAAAGTTGTTATAGCTATAAAAGAGTTTGAATAAAGTTTTGATGGGATAATGGGTTATATCGTATCGGTTTTCAGCGGCTTACCTGAAATCGTATTTCTGTAAAACGGAACTCCATTTAAAGACATGACTGCATGGACAGCGAATTCCTCGGGTTCATAGGTCATGTTCATGCAAGCTTTTTGGTTTAACCTATCCAGGATATAACCGGTGCAGCATCCGCATTGCCCCTGGAAGCAAGAGCAAGGTAATCGAAAAGACGGGAGCACCGGCTTTCGGGTTGTCGTAGATAAGATGGGAACAGGGCTTGACACAGCCGATATCGGAGGGGTCTCAGATACATTTTGCCCTGAAACTGAAATTTTATCGTGCAAGTAAAGGATTTTATGTTAAATTGTCACGTTCTGGAGCACTATGTACTTTTTACACTCAAGGAGCTTTTTATTGGCATGTCAACTGATAATAACCCCGCTTCACCAAAGAAGTCATCTTGGATCATTTTATCTGCGAAAATCGTGTACGGGGTTTCCGATTTTCGACCCTTTTACTGCTATGCAATCAAAAAAGTACCATATATCTGATGTGATCTTTTTAGGTCAAACTTAAAATGGTAAATTCAAAATTTGAAAAAGTTTGCGAGTTTAACAGTTACAGAGGAAACTCTAAAAAATGTCTGAAATGACCCTAGATTTTCTAAATAAATGTTTGGTTAAAAAGTACCCTATATTTTCTTATTTAAATGCGATACAGAAAAATGTTTTATGCAAAAGCGTATTTATAATGATTGCTGACTAATTTGCCATTTTCAGAATAAATCTACGGGGTCATGTAAAAACGTTGTCGTACCGAAACCCATTCTTCTTATATAGAACACGCTGCCAAATTTGTCATAACTTTGGAAGTGGCTAAATGCTCATTAGAGCGATTTGGTTTCTGTTTGAAGCGTTATCCTGCCCAATTTTATTTTTGTGAATCAGATATTTAATAAAAGTTAGGGATCTAAAATAAATACTATCTACAGGGCAAATGGAAAAGTGCAAAATTTCTCAACGTTTGGACGAAAAAGTGCTTCTTTGTGTCCCAACACCAAGTTTAAAGATGAACTAAATAGCTGGAATCGGTTTTTTATCTTTTTGGCACTTTCTTCTATTTACAGGATTATCTCAAAAATCAACTTTTTGGTCCGAGTGTCACGATCTAGAGCTCATGTTGAAGCCAAAACTTCATAGGCAATTTAAGACCAAACTTCGATCACAGAGTTGCATAAAAAATTACCTTAATCAGAACCGAAGTTGACTGTGAACTTTTAACTTCAACTAGGGCTTTAGATTTTGCTAATCGCTTCTAAAGAAAAACAAACACTGCTATACCAAGAATTGACCTTTTCAAAAAAAATCGAAAACCTTTTTCGAGACATGATGTCTATCTGAATGCCTGTGGTGTTGAAATACCAAAAAACGCTTTTTTGTCCAACTGAGAGCATTCGAAACTTTCACCAATTTTGCATTATTGTTTCATGTGCCACTGTAGAAAATATATCTGAAGCACTACGTTGTTCAAAATCACGCACTAGCCGAAAAAATAATTGCCCTAAATAACGCTTCAAATCGAAATAGAATCGCTAGCAACAATGAGAATATCAAATTTGTCAGTGTTGACACGTTGATTTGGTTGAGCAGTTTATATATTATATAGAATGTTAAAGTATGTGCAAGCTGATATTCTTAAAATAATATACTATGCATTTTTCCATCGCATAATAAGTTAAACCACCACGATCACCGGATCTAACACCTACAGAGTTGTTTCTTTGGGGAAAGTTGGAAAATAAGAGTCATTTTGACCCGAGAACGACCTGATCAAAGAATTTCTGAGACCCAGGCAGAAATAGAACCCTTTATAGAACACATTATGAATGCCTTAAAGTCCAGTCGAAAAAGTCTCTTAAGAGCGAAAAATTTCAAATTTTTATTTTCCCATTTTAAGTTGGGCCTAAGAAGATCACATAAACACGCAATACTCCTGAAAACAGCAACGCATCAGAAAGCCTATATATACATTTTTCAATAATTCAATTCTTAACAGCTATGAGATTTGATTTGATTTAAATGTACTCAACGGATTAGAAACATTCAAAATTTTCCTTTCGAACAATGGAGAACCACATTCCATAAATAAAACAATGAAGACCTGGCCCACTTGAAAGTATAATGAGCAGGCTAACACTAATGGAAATACGCTAGAAGCTCCTTTAAGAAGTTAGATAGATATGCGAGTAAAGTGATGAATATGCCCAAGAACAAAGACAAAGGCTGTAAGCTATCGAACAAGTAGCTATTAAAAGTTTGGGTTATACGCTGTGCGAGCCGTTCATGAATTCATAGTAAACACATAAGCGATGCCAGTGCATAGAATTTGTCATCCGAACTTCAGCATACTCATGCAAGAATCTATAATATCTTATGATCGTGACAGCATAGTTTCGGAACCAGCAAACGTTTGATCAGCCCTTAGAAATTTCAGCACAATTTAGAACTCAGTTCAGTCTCAAGCAGAGCTTGATTGAACAATGATATAGAACTTGTCTTAGCAAAATCAAAAGCTTAAGTGACGTTTTGTACTTCAATATCATTGCACCCTATATAAACGTTTAATTCTCGATCGGATATAAAAGCTGTATTGTTGTTTTCTAAATTCGAGCTGAATTCAATACTTTCTTCAATTTTTGGGCGCATAACTGAATTTTTCAATTTATAGGCGCAAAATATAAATTCTGACTGGTAGCAAGTTTCTCAAAAAACCATAAATGCAAGGCTTTCAGCGAAAAATTAAATGTATGTCACAGCGCGTTATAAAAGCATAGTAGGTATTTACCTGATTTTATTTCATTTATAACCGTAAATCCGATTAGCACAAAAACTGGCACCTGGCACGTTCTCATCTTATAATAATATATGAAGTAAAGTGAAACCCCAGTGTAAACTAAATACGGTTCGGAAAGAATAATGAGCGGCTCTTCTTTTGTACCACCTTCTTTCCTTTCTGGTTATTTATGCTTTCTCCTTATCACATTGCCTGCAGATGATCAATAATTCGAACTCCCGCCTGTAGAAACAATGTTGGTACATTACCCAATAACCTATTTTTGTTTAATTGAAGCCATTATGCAAAACCCACATAACAACTACGTCATCAACAACACAAACTTCTAGTCCGGCTTTAGACAAAAACAAAACATCCACTAAAATATGCATGTATGTGGCTCATTAAATCTGTTCTCCGCAAAGTTTTAGCCTTTGCTTTCATCTTAGCAATTTTAATTAAAAAAAAAACAAAAATTTCTATGTTTCATATAGGTTTATTTACAACATATTTCCTTCAAACAAAACATCAATAAATAAATAAATAATTTAACAGCAATACAACTACATAAATTTATCATATTACTCAAAGCCGACTTGTTGCATTTTTATTTTAATTAGTCAAATAAATAAATAAATAAATAAATAACAGTGCAAATGCAGACTAGATCTTGACAGTATTCAAAAGGTTTTTAATTTATCTTCATAACGCGACTTTGCCTTGCATTGTTTGATGCAGATTTAAAACTTCTGAACAACTCATCGTCATCATCGTTCTCATTCTCATCATCATCATCATCATCGTCATCATCGTCAGCCGCCCCGAAAGTCTCCGCGACACCATCAGCTATATCATCAAACACATCTTTGCCTTCCTTATCCTCGTCGTCGTTCTTCTGCGTGGTATTTGATGTTTTTGTTACCCCCGAAGGTTTTTCGTCAGACTCGTCACTGTCCTCGTCGCTGTCCTCGTCACTATCTTCCCCGCTTTCTGTGCTGTTCTCTCCGCTTTCATCATCATTGATTACATCTTCCACTGCTTCTGCAAGCGGGTCATCTTCAGGTTCCTCAGTAGTCGTTACTTGAGTCGTCGTTTCCAAAGCATCGGTAGGTAAAGTCGTGACGGTTGTGGTATCTATTGGCATATCTGTGGATGGTCCTGATCCTAATGTGGGCGACACATCCGAAGCGGCATCATCAGTTGTCGTGTTTGTTGAAACGGATTTTGTAGAATTATCACTTGCATCCATCGCAAGCATCAAAGTTTCGTTGGAAGCCGCTTCTACTGCCATTACTGAAGTAGTGGACATCTGAGTAGTAGAGTCTGAGGCAGATAGTTTAGAGGACGTTGGTTTGACTTCACTAGTAGGTTTGGGTTTCTGAGCAGAGACTCTTTTCTTTGTGGGTTTAGTTGCTACTGCAGGACGTCTGGTATAGCGGCGCTTTACAGGGGCTTTGGTGGTTGTTGAGGTTCTCCGCCTTTTGTTGCCTGAAAAAGTATTGCACAAATATTTTTAAATTTCAACTATTTAAAGATGCTTACTAGATGATGATGCTCCGCCTTGGAAGTAACCTCCAATAAAGTCGTCATCCAATACGCTGAAAGTTTCGTAGTCGCCTGAGTCAACGTCGTTCTCTGCGTCATCATCGTCGTCGTCATCATCATCGTCGTCGTCATCGTCATCATCAAAGTCAAAGTCATCGTCATCGTCGTCATCATCATCGTCATCATCGTCATCATCATCATCTTCTTCGATTACTGGAAGTGGTTGTGGAGGCTCAAGTTTCAAGCCTTCTGGGCCGAATCTGAAGCAAGACACTCTCATTGCCGCTTCAATGTCATTAGCTGATCGTAGCTCCAGGCCTAAACAGGCGTTAAAGTTTTCTGCCTTTCGTCCAATGTTGTAGACCCGTCCGCAAAATTTGGTTACTCCTCCTGGTAGTGGCATACATATGGGATCTGGCCTCCTACCTAAAGCATTAGAGGATTTTACACAATAGCAAATAAACTTGTAAACAATCGTACTTGACACAGTCGTATTAGTGAGGACTCGTTCTCCAAAACTCATGGAAATAGCGAGTCGATCTCCATTAAGATATTGCAAGGTGGCGCAACCTGGCCCTCTCAAAGCCACTACTGGCAAGTTAAACTCCCGGCAACAATTACAAAGCTTAGTGGAACAACTGCAATATCTATTCGCCGGTGATTCTTGTCTCTTATTGCCGACTTTGCCATTTTTCTTTGTTATTGCACCTTTTCTGAATTTTCTCAAATGATTTTTATCTGAAATGAAACAAAAGTTTCAAACGTTCTGGATAACACTGATCGTTCAACTTAATTGCTAGAGGGCGACATATCCATAATGATATTCGTTAAGAGAAGTCTTCAAGTGGAAAAATGATCTAATTAAACCGGATATTATGGGACATTTATTTAAAACAATGACCAATCTGTGGCAACTGCAGGCATTAAAAATTACAGTTTTTAAACCGAAATTTAAATTCTTTACAGGACGTCGGCGATTTTATCAGTTTGAATTGAACTCTCATCACGTGAAACCTACGGGGAAATTACTGAAAAGTAGGTTCGTTCCGAAGTAATTACCTGAGCGCATCTCTTTAAGAATTCCCTGGATATTGGAACCTGATACATCCATGGAATTTGATAACTCCAATCGAAACAGTAAACAAAATAGTTATAATTACGTTTTCCGTTTTGGATTGGATTTCAGTTTGATAGTAATAGGATTCGACTCGTTTTATGTAATTTAAAATCGATTTCTTCACACAAGGAAAAATGTTCCTGATACATTATCTACCCAAAATGTTTGAATGCACCGCTCGCCCCCCAAAGCCAGTGAAAATTCGTTACTCTAAAAATATAAACTCAGGAAAAGAAAACTCTTATTTCACGGCTGTTCCACGTTTCACATCTCTTTTCCGTTTCAATTTCAAGTGCATGCAATCTAGTTCCCCAAACATATGGGCACATTTAGCTCAAAGCTGCCGCTTGTATTTGGTAAAATATTGGGCCACTTTTACATTTATGCTTATTGATATCTGTTGCTTAATTACCAATTTGAATCTGGCTTTAAATTGGCCGCAAAAAATGACCATCGATAAATTATAATTATAATTGGTCCAATTTTAATAATAATTAATTTCATGGGTTAATTCTTCACGCCTATTTGATGAAAATGGAATTATGTACATGTTGTTTCATTAGAACAGCTCGAAATAATATACGTGATGTTCAGAAGGGATTTTTTCCTAGAATGAGGCAGTAATTATGAAATATTTAGTAGTAGTCGCTAGGCAGGGAAAATATTATTGTGTTCTTAAAAATGAGACTGCAGTAGTTTTTTTAGAAATTACTTCTCCCGATTTGCTTTGTAAATAAGCAGCAACTTTGCTGTAAGATGATTAAATCTTATTATTTGACTTGAAAAATATATATCTACGTTTCCAAATTAAATTTACCGCGGTGATTATGACAGTAAATCTTAAGCGAACTTTAAATACAAGTTTCTTATTACACAAAAGAAGATTGTTAGTTGATTCAAAAATAGGGTCGTTAAACATGCAACAACTATTAAATTTTGCTTCCTTCGTAAAGGGTAGAGGAGAAATGTTAAACCAATTTTTTTGATGTATCATCGATAAACCAATATCTCCTTAATAAAATCTTCAAGGATATTGTTCAATTGGCTTCCTATCTTTCTGTTCCATAGATAAATTGCCAATAACGTAACTATATATCGACGATAATGATTTGCCGGGGTGGGTGCTAAAATTTTATCTCATCTATTATGTTAGACGCCGCGAGACCTATTAAAACAAAACTATAGTTGCCGATAAGACTACCCTATTTTTATTTTCGCTATTTCTTGCTAAAATTATTCAAGTTTATCATTTTAATGTACGGCATTACAATTTGTCCTGGAAATCTAGACTTAATTACTTGGAAACTAGGGCTTAATAAGATGATCCGAGAATACGTTATTATACTTTGTAGACTAGAAATAAAATTTACCTATTGGATGCGTAATTCTAAACCGAAAATACTGTAGTTACTTTTCACAAAACGTATTTTAGATTACATTGAATATTTTCGATATTTTAATGTGATTCCCTCTGGCCATTGAAGCTACAAAGTAACATCAATCAACTGGCATGGCGGAAATCATTGTGAAATCGCTTTCTATTTTTCCTCACTAAAATGGACAAATTTGAGCCTCTGATAATTTATTCTACACATTTTTGAAATGGTGGAAACTGGCCTATTTATTTTCAGCAAAAAATGCGGCTCGATTCCTGGCTCGCTAACATCAAAATATGTGTATATGTGAGACCAAATGCGTACTATATTTGATAGTTTCTTAAAATTTCACACCAAAAAATTAAAAAATTTTGTAAATGTTTTCGAATGTGATATGTAAATAGTCCATACTTACGCTCTTCTCGAAGCCCGTGAATGAATTTTAATTGTTCCTATTGACGAAGCAAAACTGTGATGATATGAATCATTTTTAAGGAATTTGGAAGAATGTGTATTAAATAATTTCATCTAAAAAAATTCCTATAAATATTGTATTTTAACGTTGCTTGGTTTTTTATTTTTGGCCAATAGATTATTTTTTGCGATAGAAATCAATAATTAACTATGTACGCATATAACAGCTGATCTAGGACAAGATTTGAAGCAATAGACGTTATAAATTCCAGGTGCGCTTCTATTTTTATTTCACCTGCAAATCTCGGTTCAATGCTTGTCCTGTTGAAGCTCATAGAGTTAGGCGAACCATCAAAAAGAGTAAATAACGAATTTTGTCAATTACTGAGCGCAAAACCTAGAGCCAATTGTATTTTAGATGAGAAATTTACTTTAGCGTATAGTTGAAGAAAATCTATCTGCAATTTCCGTTATTAAAGATACCATAGACAAAGAGAGAGTTGAAAATTGCGGAAAGTTAAATGAGTAGTTCACTTTTGATAAAGCAATCTTACCTATAACAGCGGAGGCTGCGAAAGCTATTAGAACAAAAACCAAAAGCAGTTCAAAGATAAAAGACAGTTTCATGTTTGATAGCCCGGGTCTGAAAGCGCTGCTGACGTAGACCTGAAGGAAATTTAAACTCCTCTCTCCGATCCTGATTCACAAGCAGGCCACCTGCAAATGAAAAAGACGTGTTATTGCCATCGGCGTACGAAGTATGTGGTATTCGAACTAAATTGACAATTGATAGGAAACAGAGCATAAATAGGAGCCGATGCAAAACTTTGAAACTGGTGCTATTAATCCGCTGTGGAAAAAAATCTTCCTGGCGTTTCGTAAGAAATTATTTTCCACGGCGGCGTAAAACCTCGAAAAACACACCAGTTTACTCACAAACAAACCCTATGAGCTTCCTTAGGTGAAAATGTTTTAGACCAAATCAATCGATGATCTGAAAGCACCGCTTTGGTGAATACTTAATAAGTATTCCAATTACTACTCGAAAAAATGTTGATGAACCGCGGAAATTTTCTCAAAATCATCTGAATTTATTTACATAAATCCCGTAGCAGCGGCTGTGACTTCCCTGACTCACATCCGCGAATACTGTATTCAAATCCACATTTTTCATTTAATAAAAAAAAAATTGAAAATTTAAAAGAAAAAATTGGGTCGATAGCCTTTTTCTGTAGGAAATAAAGATTATTTATATATATATGTAAGAAAAAAAATTAATGCAAATGGCTGCGAGAACATTTGTGTTCCAATTCCTCTTGCAATGCATTCGTACCATTCAAATGTTCTTACAATATAGCAAAAGTTTTGCGCACCGGAAAATATTGCTCACTCCATCCAATGCTTTCGTTTCAGCTCTCCAAACTGATAATTATGATATATCGAAATATATTTTTGTGTAACGTAAGCTTTTGACTTCTGCGACGCAGCACGAACCTAGTTGGTAACGAGTTAGTGCTAAAAGTAATTTTGTGAAGTTCTCTTGAGGAATTTGTCTCTTAGAACTTCGGAAGTTATTACGGCACGTTTCGGCCTTGCCATGTCTAAACAATTACAATTCAATTTTTATACTGGAAAAAAATACGCCACTTGCTTTATAAAATTTATAGGATATGTGGAAGTCAAACTACTGTAATATTGGCATATCAGTTATCGAATTACCAATATTTGAAAAGGGGAGATTAGAAATGTACGTCAGTGTAAGAACATCGTAATTCACGGCTTTAAGGAACTTTCAAAATCACCGAAATTCAGTGAACTAGAAACGGGCAAATTGGGAAATCAGACAAATTGCCCCAAACTCATACTTTGAGCATATTTTAAACTGGAAATATCGCTTCCCTTCAATGCAGAACGGCAACAGTTTTTCATCAAATAAGTCCAAAAAGTGCTTAAATGTTCTTAACAGCATTGAGAGCTCCAATTTTCTGGTTTCAGAATACCAGAAGACCGATTTAACAAACATTCCAAAATGCTGTTAAAGGATTCTTTCCTGCCACCCTTAAAATCCTCGAATTTTTTCATATTAAAATATGTGCGCATAATTATTTTTCGCTAAGCCGGACGACCAATAAAGATGCTTTTGGTAAGTTCGGTTGGCTTTGTTATGGGAAGGGCTGATTTATTCGACAAAACTTTTAACCTTTTGTCATTGGTCTTAGTCAAAGTCAACTTTTATCATTTGAATTGTTCTTTAGACGAAGATTTACACAATACCGTTTTTGGTTTTGATGCCATTGCAATGATTCGATGAGATTGTTATTTAGTCATCGTGATTTATACCTGCGACCATTCGGCTTTTAGAGCGCTTAGTGTTCAACATTATCTGTCACTATAAATCACAAGAAATCACGAAATTCTAGTCGCCCAGCCACATTACGCAATTTGCAATGAACGAGATTCGTTTGAGGTATTTTCAAAATTACACCTTTTAAATCAAAAAGGGCGTAAAGTTTTTCGTTCAGCATGACAGCCTGATTCGACGGAAATGCATATTGCTTCCACAAAAAGCCTTTAGATTTACAACGAAAAAAGCAGGTTTTTTCCAAAATTACTTATGCACAGATTTTGGGTTGTTTAATTATAATTTTCTGAAGCAAATATGAATGAATTAAATCTGACGCGTTCACATTATTTAAATCAGAGATGTCTTCCAATCTGAATGTTCACCCTTCCGTTCTGCGTCTCAATCCCCCATTGAAAATTGTTGCAGCCATGTTATTTATTCAAGAAATTATGTTTTCTCCAAGAAGCAGCTTGGGTTTATCGGAATTCTTGCTCAAATTAGACAGTGATATTCTAATTGTGAGTTAGCTGATACTTAGCTTGTTAAAACAAGATAACAACAATAATTTACATCTGTTGTGGAATATTCAAATAAAAATTAATAATTAATTGAGACACTGTTCTAAACTTCCTCCATTATTGTACACGATTGTAGACGTTGGATTGAGAAGCAATAGCGCAATTTTATTCCGCATGTTATACCAGACTCTTGGGTCTAATCAAAAATTGCAACAAAAACAAATCATTTAGAAAAACTCACTTCAGGTTTTAAATAGTTACCGAATATTAAGTGCTCCAAAACTGCAAAATAACAGGAAAGTCGTAGAGGATTGAATTATATATCGGCCTAATACACAAGTTTCATTACACGTTTGCGTTTCAGTTCTGCAGCTAATTAAAGTCGTGAAAAGCAATTATCATAGCGCAAATTCAAATTAAAATTGAGTGCTCATTGCACTAATATTAATTAATATAATTATCATCAATTAGGACGTGCGAAAGTGAGGAATTGTTTCCAAAGTTATTTATTCGAAAGTAAACTGGAAATGAAAACAGGGTTAACATGGACTATTCAGCATGAGGAAACATGCACAGAAACCTGTACTCGATTCATTTAGAGTGGAAGTTTAAGAGAAATTGCCTGACAGCTATACAAACTAAACTCAATAGGCAAATTTACGTGCACTGAATAGTGTTCAGTGATTATTTTTGTTTTCATGCTGTAATTAACGGCAATTAAAGTCTTCAGAATTTATTTACACTCGTTTTCCTTCATTTACCAGCACTGCATGCAAACATATGAAAAACTTTCTTTTAGGCGCGCTCTTCAACGAATTTGATCTGCTATTAAGTTCAAGGCTTTTGGAAGAGAAAGTTTCGGATGCTGTATGTTCAAAATACATGAACCGAGAAATTCATAGAATTGCGATTTTGTTGTAATTTATTCGCTAAATTTTCATTTAAAATTCAAAAACAAACGCTTCAATTCGATTTCGGTAATAGGGTAAACTGTGCACATTTCCAATTTCAAATAAAATCATAAAATATATTAATTGGCCAATATTGAATCGCCCATAATGTAATACAAACAGTTTACTATTCAATTTTCCCTACCGAGGGCATACAAAGGCATTTGCTCTGTTCTCTAAATTGTCTATTTACAATTTACAATATTTACTTGTTATTTCGCTAATCAAATCTAATATTTAACGGTGTGAACTAATGCGTTTTAACGTAAATCTGAAGAGCTGATAACCACTAATTAAGCAATGAAAAATTGTCTTAATTAGAGAATGTGTTATCGGTTTGCTTAAAAAGTAATTTCCATGGGGATTTTCCAATGCATATTTTTATTTGTATTTTTATGTAAGGATTTTTGTTTGTCCAGCTGATGCTTGTAAATGAAATAAATGAACTCAGACTTTTCCACGTTAGCAAATTTGCTTGTTCTTAATGGTATTTCAAGAAAAAATACTCAATATACAAATACTAAATCTAATCACTTTTTCGCAAGCATGAACGACTTGCATCTTCAGAGGTCGTTCGCTGAGAAACTGACCAGTATCAAGTAAGCCCGCAAAACCCCTTTTCATAAATTAAGCAAAATTTCAAAATCCATTGTTTTCGTCAAACAAACCCAATTTAAAATTATAATCTACACACATTTTAAAAATTTTGGAACGATATCAGAAAACACCCTGTATACAACGTGAAGCCACAAATAAACCGTTATAGCCGGCAGGGCATTTAAATTGAATACTCTGTTGTTATTTAAAGTAGTATCACCTCCGAATTGAATTTTAAGTCAGTAAATTTACGCAAAAAAGTTGAAAACGAGATGCTGGTGAAAAGATTTTATATCCCCTGGGTGTCGCATGATAGGCGCTATTGATAAATATTACTTTTTTCGTAGCGCTGATTCTAAAGGCGTTTAAAGGGGTGAAAATGATAATGAAAAAAATGGGGACCTAAGTCGGGGCTGCTTCCTGTGCACTAAGGAGGAAGCAGAAATTGAATAAAGGGTAAGTGAAAACGGAATAAAAAATGTATCTGATTAATCGGCGATTTGGAGTTCCACCAAATACACAAAGCAAAACGCACACAAAAATCAACACTCTACCGGGATCATCACACTTTTTAATTGAAGTTTCACCAAGGCATATTTAGGTCCACGAATTAAATATCCATTGTATGCCAGATTCGCATTAAATTTCTCACTGCACTTACCTTTCAGACACAATAGATAAAATCCGATTTAAAAAAAATTGCTATGAGGCCAGTGTGCACTTGAACAAAAACTGTAAAAGTCTGATTGAAATAGTTCTTGATACACGATTCTTCTTCGGAACTACTTGCGAGGAAGGCATGAAGAAAGGAGGGGTCACAAATGTCGGTCAACCGACTGTTTGGGTTGTACAAAACCTATCCGGTACAGAGCATATCAAATACGTGCTGGTGGTACCAAACATAAACATTTTGGTGAAAGAACTCACGGAATGTTAAACCTGAGAAGGAGAAAGCCGAAATGTTGAAACCCATTTCATTGGCAGACAACACGTGCTTTTTAATCTTCAATATCGAATTCAACTGGTTGCAACATCCGCTTTAAGATTCCTGGTCACTGTTGTTAACTCCATTTAAGCTCCAGAAAATCTAATTATTGCAAACTGCCCTCTACTCAGCTTCTGTTCTGCACCTAGTTCCCAAACATATCCACTCAAAGAGGTCAAGGCACGTTCCTGGCAAAATTTATCTTATTAAATTTGCTAAATTTTCGATACGGTTTTGTAGCTGTGCAAACAGAAGGCAGAACAGAAAATTTCTTTAATAAAGTGGACATTTTCAATGATATTTTCACAAGGAAATTTTTGTAACACGTATCAAGCCTGGACTCGTGATTTTTCCAAATCTAATTTGGCTTTCACGTAACAGCTTTCCAAAAAAAGCGAGGTAATAGAGTAGCCAAAACTGAATTTATGTTTTTATTGATTGGAAATTGGACGAATGCGGTTTGTTAAAATGACCGCCTTAATCAACAGTGATGGGGCGTGGAAAATATTTACCTGGATCCCGTAAACGCATTAATAATATGTTTCAATGTCCTAACGATAAAGGATTTACGCCCCTTCGAAATAGGATGAGCTAAAATATAGTTTCATTTTTTTAACAGGCAGCCGAATAAGGCAAGCAAAGCAAAGAAGAATAATTAGAATTTTCAAGATTAGTACTCAAAATGCTTTTAGCTAGAACACCAGAAATGGTAAATGATGTTTTCAGGTGTAGAAAACGACGCCTGCAGCTTTTTTATACAGCGTTATAAATTTGCGTTCTTTGCCCTTTTCACCATTTATCTTATATTTTATTTGCCAAATATCTACCACTATCTTGGAATGCCGAAATAATATTGCTGTTCAATCGAATTTAAATACTTTTCACCTTTACCGTCAGTTCGAACTTGGATTTCTGATCAATTTTTCCAATTATCTGTCAAGTTAAAAACCAGACGGCCGAACTAACCAAATCATAAATCTTGCTTGTAGCCCAAAAAAAGCACATGGCTTATCCCATTTTTCCTGCAAATCCGGGCAACAAGTTATCAGAGTCTTCTCGGAAGAGAGTGTTTTGTATTACAGATGTCATTGCATGTCTCCATATAAAGTAACTTCTTCCAAAGTTATTTTCCAGCTAAATGATTAAAGTAACGAAGAGTATATCCAGCTGCTTGGCTGCAATAATATATAGTTCTCGACATATATAAAGAGAGAGTAGAACTATTCTGACACCTTAAAAACATGTAATTTATGGTTTACAGGGAACAGTTCGGTTGAACGCTCTTGTTTCCAGGATTGTTTCAGCAACATTTTACGTGTTGGAAATCGGGGGACTTTTCAGTAGTTCGTTCAATTTTTTTGTCGACGTCCGCAAGTTTGAAATTTATATTACCCTCAATTTTTCCGCAAATATGAACAAAAATCGTAAGGCACTGTTGAAATGGATTTTCTCGAATTTAATGCGCTAATTAACTAACGTTGTTAATCGAAAAAATCGTGCACTAATGTCTAAACCTAAACTACAGATAATAAGAGAAACAAACATTTTGCATTAGTGAAAATAGAAAGTGAAAATGATTAGGAAGTCAGACGGGTCGGCTTTTTTGTGAATGGAAAGCGGTGGTCAGGAGTTCGTAGATGTGGCCCGACAATTAAAACTGACTAATTGGCTAAATAAAACTGGGGCAATTTTGCTAATAATCCAGTCAATTTAATGAGTGTCTAGTCTTGCAGTTGCAGGGCATGAGAAAAGTGACTCTGGATAATTGTAAAAACGAAGTAATACACTCCAACAAAACCATCAAAAAATTTCAGAAGCCCACTCTTGAAATCCAAATTACAGTTTAAAGTATACATTTCACAGTGGTTTGGTCGATTAAAGTGCAAGGTGAAGGCAGCATAAAGTAAAGGACGAAGAAAGATTCGGGTGACCCAGTGACCTGCAAAGCGGTTAAAGACACTGAGGAAAACATTTTTCGAGGCATGGTTGGCAACCTAACCGTCGCCAAAGAGAAGAACCGAAGCAAAGAGTTGTGAAAAGCGTGTGTCGCATATTAAAAGTGGCGACGAGCTTTCAATTCGTTTAAAACCGATATTCCAATGCAAACCTAATCATCAGAAATTTAGTGAAACATGCGGGCGTGCGTGCTCTTTCTTCTTGTTGCGGCCTTTTCATTTGGCATGCCACATTTGTCTTCGGCTGCGGACATATTCGGTGAGTTTCCGTTCCCTTATTAATGCTTTAACTTACATAAATTATAACTTTAGGACTTTGAAATATGTCTCTTTGGATTAACGGCATTTGTTCACACCTACTTATTACAACGATAATTAGCTGTTTGCAATTCAGGTTCAACATTTGCTCATTGGAAAAAGGCATATGTGATAATTATTCACTGTTTATGTAGCGGAAATTAAAAACTGGTTAAGTTAAAATTGATTTTGTCTGCCGACCTGCAATATAACAAATCACAAAGGACTAACAGGTGAATGGGGAGCTCAAATACTGTACATAGACGGCAAAGGAAACTGTTTCCTCATTGCTGTCATTTACCCGTAGCTATTATTGCGAGCGGCGCTGTTTAAATTGATTTAGTGCAAACAGGAGTAAATCAGTAATTACGGAATAGCCAAGCTATCGATAAATACCAACTAGTTAATAACAATGGTTATTTTAATGAGATCCGAGCTAATCCAAAAGGCTAGTTTCCGACCACAAATTAGCTCATTTCCATTATGCAGAATCAGTGTGGAATGCAAACAGGCTGAGATTTTTGCAGGAAATTCAAAATTACACTTATTTTTACCTTACTGTACCCTTTGTTGGCAATAATTCACCAATTTGGAAAGCGATCGCCGTTTTCAATAACAACGAAAATTTCAAAAATTTACCAACTGGACTGGAAACCATCCACCTGGTTTCATTTTAAATACTGGAAAATATTTCCATGAGACACCAACCACTGGGAACATGAATTTTGGCACGAATAAAAATATTTGCCTAATTTCCTGCCGCTTTGTAACAAATTTACCTCGAAAAAATGCATTAAATGGAAAATATGGCTTTGTCAGGATAGAATGTTCAATTTTCCATATCGAGCTAATATTCTGTCAGTATCAATAACAGGCAACAATCAGTGCAATTATTTTCCATTGTATGCGCAAATATTAAAGAGTAGAGAAACTTTAGTAGGACTAACTTTGATATTCAGGTTACTTCCTGGCAGATCCAGATGCCGAAGGTAGAGAAAGCGAAGATGAAAATTTAAGAACTTGCGAATGTCGAGAAGCAACATGCATGTGCTGTGTGGACTTCAATTTGACCTACATCGATTTGGGAGGTCCAGGTAAGAAGTTAGCCAGTTTTCCATTAACACCGTACGGTATTTTCAAAACGTATTTTGCTAAAAGAATGATCTGAACAAATTGAGTTAGTTCACTATTTCCAAAAGCACAGTTTCCAGCAAAAAGTAAACGAAACGGAACTTTTCATCGAACGCTAAAGTTCGGAACTTGCAAGGAAAAGATTCTTCCAATTAAACCTAACAGTGAAGTTGAGATTTAACTAAATATATTAGTTTAGATATTTTTCCGTCGCTCAGGATTTAATGGCGTAATTAAAAGGCTTTGTTTCGACATTTAGAGCAAAAAGTTGAGCATAGGCTGCATAGCAAAAGAATCAAGTTTACGGGGGTCGTGCTTAAAACTGAGGAATTTTTGGGCTTTTAAGCCGCCGTGGAAAGGAATTTCTTCCTGACGTTTCGCAAGCAGGAGTGGCTTGCATCTTCAGATATTGGTAACTCGGCGCAACAGCCATCTCCGAAAAACATCAGGAGCCATTAAACGCCTAAAAAATCTCACCAGCTTGCAAAGTTTTGGCATATACAGTGAGTCTCAGAATAATGTCTAAATTCGTTCAAAATTCAGAGGACTGTTTTTCGGCAAAATGCTCCCACCGGTCAATTTTTCTTTGTAAATGTATTTTTCTAACTGAATTCCTGGTCCAAAAAACGTTACAATCATCAACTTTTTTTTTTAATGGACGCAGCTTATTCTTATTCCAATTTTCTGTTGTCCAATAGGGACAATTTTGTCCGTTCACATAAGGATTCAAGCTGAACGTCGAGTCGACTGCGTTTACGGAAAAAAAAACCATGTTTTTTACTAAATTGTTATCTAGATTGCATATATTTTTCGTGCAAAACTTATTTTGCCTTTTGCACTGGAATAACTTTGTAGGGATAATATTTGTGCTTCCAGCTATTCGGCGATCAACATATTTCCGCATATGTAAATTGGCCCCACTTTGCCAAAACGGAATTTTCTACCACAGAAAGTAAAACGTCGAGTTGTTCATTTTGATCTCGAGCAGAACGTCCAGACTTAGGCAGATCTCTGAATTTAGCAATATCGGTTTTTTCGCGTTCCGTTAACTTTCCCCATTTTGAAAACTGCAAAAGCAAAACTAAGCTGACGCACGCAAACTATTGTTTTTTTATCGCCCTAAAGACGATTTTGAAGGCATCTTGTTATTTTCGAAAACTATTTTTCACCTCGTAAATTTCGGAAGTCCTTTTGAGTCTAGGTATAGAACCTGAATCATATTTGGAATTCAATGGAGAATTAAAAATTTAAATAGAAAATAGGTGCTTCAATCCCAAAAAAAATTAAAAACCGGATCTAAAAATAAAAATTTCTGAATCTGAGCTCCTTTTCGAAAATACCATCGCTGAAATTCAAATGATTTGGACTTTACTTCTAGGACTCATTGTAGAATGAAATCGATTTTAAATTATTTTCTGGATTGGCTGGAAAGCGAGGGCAATTTTTCAACTAATTTGAAATTAGTAATTATTTGCGAGCAGTAGTTAAGTGCCACTAAATTACTACAATATAGGTTAATTAGCTTATGAAATATCAGCATACTTGGCGAATATATATCACGCGAAATCACTGTCAGAAAGTGAATCAATCAAGTTTCCCAAGTTCCGCCACCGGATCCATACATCATCTATATACATAAATTCTCACTACGTTAAAAGTAATAATGATGCTACGTGTGGGAGTCAATATTGATCAGCAGAAAAAGTGAAGTCCTGCGGTGCTTTGAAGCTTGAAATTTGCAATTTTTATCTGACCCAGAAAAATTCTATTATCGAAAACCGTTGTTAGACGGGACAAGTTCGATGCTTGTAGGTGCTTAAGGTATTTTATTCCATCGTGAATGTTCTTGCCTCATGGTAATGCATTGTACAAAATGTATCCACATTGAAAGTTGCCCCATTCTACCGCAAACTTCTTTTTCAATCTAGAACTCGATTCCATTCACTGACAGTTTTTATCCATTCTTGATTAGGTTGTGTGCAAATGAAGTATATCTCCCAAGAAAAAGGACTGAAACTGAATGTCTCATACGGTGAAAGTCTTTTACATAGCCAAGAGGTGAAAGGACCTAATCCCGATGCGACATGCATGTCCTTACTGACGGATATTGCCGGAATATGTGCCCGGTTTTCGAATTTGTTACCGCACAACGAGGGTCTTAGAGGGTGTTTACTTCTTGAGCCTAAGTTATTGAAGGCGGTTACAGCCACTTTTAAAATAGGCTGTTTTACCATGGGTCCTGATGGGATGAAGCTCGAGGAAGGAAATGCCACTGCTTCCGAGCCCCAGCTAGTCGAAAATTTAACCGAAGGCCCTCAAAACCAGTAAGTACCTAACGCAGTTACCATCTCAAAAATTAACTGACCCCAAATGTGCTTTAAATTGCTTCGACCTTAAACAGAACTTTGTTTATCCGCGGGTATTCTCCATTACGATATTATGGGATAAATTATTCCCACTTCTTACTCAGCCAAGCAGGGCTTTATCATCTTGTAAATGATAGCAAAAGCAACAAACCTTCTTGTTGGGTTTTCTGAAATACGCAATCATAAAATGTCAAAGATAATAAACGGCGGATGTGTTGTGGAAGAGAAGAGACGCATAGCCCGAAAATGTGGATAAATGGTAATAAAGACAGCAGCAATATTTTTAACGAATTGAACAGTTTGAGCGCCCTTGCTTGTGTTCTTCGTACTAAAAAAATACTTCGGACGTTTCTCAGTTTGGTCTTTCATTGTAATGGCATGCACTCGATTAAAGCTCATGTTAATCTTCAAAGGATGTGGCTCTGGTTTAATTAAGCAGCTCCGAATGCGCCGGATAATGAAAGGGCGAATAATGTTTTAGGAATGAGTCTGCAATCATCAACGAAGACTTGCTCAGTGTAGTAAATGAGACGGCCGAGAAAGGACTGGCATTTTTGGGTAGTCTATTTGGACTAACCTTTGAAGAGTCGGCAGACACGGAAACCGATGGTATAACTAATGATCACATTGGCGCTAGTGAAACCACTAAGCCAAATAACACTGCAGATTTGACCTGATAAGGGATGCAATGGGCTGCTGATCTAAATCATCGATGAAGAAGGCACTACCACTACTATAAGCACCATGTATACTTTTTGTGAACTTGGAAATTATTTATTTTTTTTAGTTGCTCAGTGTTTTTTTTCTCATGCGAACTAGGACATTTGGTAGGCAATAAGTCAGCAATTGCGCAAAATGCACAGAACTGCGACCCTTAACAAAAGCATAGCTCTGACACCCTCATAAAGATATATATCCCGAACAAGTTTGCAGAGTAATTTTCAGCAATGTACAAACGTATCATGCACATGCTAGCTAACAAATATGTGTTGTAGATGCACGGCCGTCATATGAGATTATTAATGTACTTAGTCAGGCTAAGTGTCCCACAGGAAAATTTACCATTTGAATTCGAACTAGACCAGTCATTTGCGATTTAATTAGTGCACCCTAGAGTTTATTTACTTACCATGCCAATTATACAAACTGGGAGCAATGTGGAGATTATTAACTAATGGTTATAACTGTATCTAGTTGTTTTAATAAGCAGCAAAGGCTTGGAGTCGGTGATGAGACTTTAATTAGCCTTTCTTCGAAGCAAATGGCTATTAATTTAATTTTTTTAGACAAGACCGTATTTGTTATGGTCTTGGACAAGAAGAGTTTTTAACAGGGAAGGAAATATTTGACAGGGACCTATTACAGACTCAGTAAGACCGAAAAAACACCATAGAGGAGAAATTACTTATGCAGAAGTTTTATTGAATCACTTGAAATTCTCGCGTAAATGGTCCTCAATTGATTAATTAAATTTACCCTGATACCTTGCCTACTAAAATGGAGAACGTGAATTTTCTTCGAAAGTTAGTGTTCAAACTGTTGATAGGCACAATATTCAAATATTAAAACTAAGCTGACGCACGCAAACGAATGTATCTATTTTTTTTTATCGCCCAAATATTGGGTGTGGAAATTAATAAGCGCCCCAACCCTCAATCTTACTTATCTTATCTATATCTATATCTATCTTATAGAACTTACCTAAGACTGTTAATTTTAACGAATTTACTTCGGCATTTTTCGCATGTATTTTTGGGCTTTATTGAAATTATCCAATTGTGTATCTACGTATACCGGGTGGTGTTTCGTCAGCAAGGGCGGATCCAAGGGGGGGGGGG